TCGCCTTCTCGGAACAGAAATGTCCCAGGCCAGAGTCACTATGGAGACTGGCCTTTCTGAGCAGACTTGGCAGGGGCAGCTCGGCTGCGGATCCATCCCAATAGAAATCACAGATAGAAATGGGGGGGTCCCTCAATGGCCAGGAGTCAGAGCACAGACCCCCTTTGTCACTGGTCGTCTTCCGCTTTGTGGGGTCTGTGTCCTGCGTTTAGGGCTCTCGGGGTCATGGCCTCAGCCGGGCGTCTGACCCGCCTGACCCCCCCCATGCCCTCCCTGCTGACCCCCCCCCCTTTCAGTGCATCCTGACTGGAACCTGGCGGAACGACCTGGGCTCTAACATGACCATCTCTGCCGTGAACGAGGCCGGGCAGTTCTCTGGGTTGTACCTCACAGCGGTGTCAGCTGCAGAAAAGCCAATCCTCGTGTCGCCCCTGAACGGATCCCAGCACATCGACGACCTGGGGCAGCCGACCTTCGGGTTCACCGTCACGTGGAGCTTCTCAGGTACGTGTCCCAACGGCTTCGGGGACCGTGCGGGCGGTTGCGGGGAGAGGAACTCGGTGCTTGATGGATAGGCTGAAATCCCCCCAGCTCCACCCTGGGGCAGTGCCTGGCACCCCCCACCCCCCCTACCCGGCCTACCCTGGCCCATCTTTTGCAGCCTCCTCCTCTCATTTGTGCCCCTGCCTGTCTCAGGCCACTGCTTCAGCCTGCCACTGCCTTCACTGGATCCCGGGTTTTTGTTAGCAGCAGACGGCGTCCAGCCTAGGCGCTTGCCAAAGGCAGACTCAGTGCGATGGGGGCACTTGTGTGTCCGGTTCGCCCAGCCCCCCCAGTTGTTTTCAATCGTTTCATCTTCAGGATATAATACATCCACAGCACGTTCAAGGGTTTGGACAGGCTCGCTCGCACCGTGTTTGACACAATACTACGCACATGGCGTGTAATTCGCACGGTTCTCAGTATTCACGTGATCGTGCTGCCAGTTTTAAATCCGTCACATATTGATCCCCATCGGTCTGACATCTGGTGAAAAATTGAGCTTCTCATACACGAAGTTGCTTGCGGTGCACAGAATGCCTCAGACTCACTCTTTGAGACCTGTATTTTTTCTCCATCGGCACCATCATCAAATTGAAATCCCCTCTCGCTCCTTCACCGGCCACAGGAAGAAATGACGCTGTCCGCAGCCATTCCTCTATTGTGTCTGCACCCAGAGCCGGTGCCAGGCAGAAGCAGACTGAGCAATTGCTTAGGGCCCCAAGCAGCTCGAGGGGGCCCCCTTTAATTATGACTGTGTTGTGTCTGCACCACTCACAATGAGGGAAGCAGCTCCATCAAGGAACTCGGTAGGGCTGCCAAATCCAGCACTGGAAAGTGAGGAGAGACCAGAACTGCAGCTGCCCCGTGCACATGCCTCCTGGGCCCGTCTGCATGACGCGGCCACAGCCCAGTGGTTCGTTCGGTGCTCAGAGAATGGGGCAGCTCGATAGTATCCCTTAGGGTGACCAGGTGTCCGGTTTTCGACCCAAACACCCGGTCAAAAAGGGATCCTGGCAACCCCGGTCAGCACCACTGACGGGGCTGTTGACTGTCCGGTTCACGGTGCTGCGCAGCGGGGCTGGCAGGGCTCCCTGCTAGCCTCCGCGCCACATGGCTCTCGGGAAGCAGCTGGCATGTCCCCCCTCCGGCTCCTATGCATAGGGGCAGCCAGGGGGCTTCGCACACTGCCCCCACCCCAAGCACTGCCCCCACAGCTCCCATTGGCCGGGATCTGCAGCCAACAGGAGCTACAGGGGCAGCGCCTGTGGACGGGGCAGCGCGCAGAGCCTGGCCGCGCCTCTGCCCCAGCCCTGATCCCCCTCCCATCCTCCAAACCCCTCGATCCAAGGCCGGAGCACCTTCCTGTACCCCAAACCCCCCATCCCCAGCCCCACATCAGAACCCGCAGCCCCAGCCAGAGCTCTCACCACCCCCAGTGCCCCAACTCCTTGCCCGAGCCTGGAGCCCCCTCACACAACCAGAACCCCTAATTTCTTCCCCCCCCGGAACCTACACCCCCAGCCCAGAGCCCATATCTCCTCCCACACCCTAATCCCCTGCCTCAGCCCGGAGCCCCCTCCCATACTCCAAACTCCTCGGCTCCACCCCCAGCCTGGAGCCCCCTCCTGCACCCCAAACCCCTCATCCCAGGCCCCACCCTAGAGCCCACACCTCCAGACGGAGCCCTCACCCCCTCCTGCATCCCAACCCACTGCCTCAGCATGGAGCCCCCTTCCGCACTCTGAACTCCTCATTTCTGGCTCCACCCCGGAGCCCGCACCCCCAGCTGGAGCCCTCAACCCCTCCCGCACCCCTGCCCCCTGCCCAGCCCAGTGAAAATGAGCGAGTGAGTGAGGGGGGGGAGAGTGAGAGACAGAGGGAGGGGGGATGGAGTGAGTGGGGGCGGGGCCTCGGAGGAGGGGCAGGGGCAGGGGCAGGGCAAGGGTGTTCGGTTTTGTGTGAGTCGAAAGTTGGCAACCCTAATTCTCTTTCCATCCGCAGTCCTGCCTTATTTGCTGCTCACTGTCCGAGCCTGGTACTGCACATTCACTGCCGCACGGGCACTTCCATGGCACTTGGCACCACGGTGTCGGAGCCTGTCAGAAACGTTAATGATCTCACTGCACCCCAGTGGAAGGACAATGGCCTTACCCCAGCAACAGGGGGGGAAACTGAGGCACAGAGATTAGGGCCAAAATTTACAGAACTCCCCAGGAATTGGGTTGCTTCAGTGGCTGGGGGCCCAGCGTAGGACACACAGGGCCTGGTTGGTCAGACGTCCTGAGCACCTGCAGCTCCCACTAACCACGTACAGCTGTGAGCGCCCAGCACGTCGGCACACCAGGCCCGGGGACCCTGCAGGGGGCCCAGACATGAGGAATGCACAGTGAGTGGCCGCATGATCTGGGGCGCTCAGCTATCTCCCTGGGGCCCTGTCATGGACTCACAGATCATGCCCACTCTTGGCCCCGTGCGGGGTGCCCCTTTCAGTGAGACAGCCCTTCTCGGGGGTCCACTCTCTTTCGGGGTCAGGCCCCTCCACCTCCTGGAGCCGCACCTCTCTGAGCCTCAGCACGTCTGTCTCTGCCATGGGCCCCCTCAGGGAGTCCCCTCGCTCTGGACCCCCCGGGCCTCCACCCCCAAAGAGGTTGATGCCACTCTGTTCTCTAGCCCGGAGTGACTCTCAGCCAGAGTAACACAGGAGGATTTATTGAGCGTCTGAACACAGCACAGGAAACTCTCAGGGCCTCAGGCCTGGCCTCCCTCAGCCCAGCACATCCCTGTCTCTCTGCATCCAGGTGGGCTCTGTCTGCTCCCCCTCCCCAGCCCAGAGCCCCCCTGCTCACAGCTGGGTATCTGAGATCCCCCAGCCCCAGGCCCCACCTCTGTCCATTGTCTTCTCTCCAGGTAAACTGGGTCGTAAACCGGGGCCTCCTCTCCTCGCTTCTGTCCTCTGGCTGGAACCGGCTTGTTAGGTCACTGGGTCCTCACTCTGCAGCCCATTGTCCTCCCACTGTCCAGAACCGGCTGCGTCTCCTCAGCTGGGCCTCCGGGTCGGGGTCTCAGGTCACTGGTCGCTGGGGTATCCATCCTCCAGGCCATCGGCTGAGGTCCCAAGTTCCCTCTCCAGTCCTCTGTAACAACAAACTCCCTCTCCCCTCACCTCGTTAAACCAGTAACCCCCAGGGAAACTGAGTCCCACCCCCTCTGCATGCAAACCATTGAAACCACACTGAAAACAAGAAAACCCTCCACTTCGTCACAGGCCCAACCTCCAAACTGATTGTGACAATATTGGAACAATCAAGTAAATGCACCGTCGCATCTCCCCACAAATCCTCTGACAGCCGGACGGGTCTGTCTAGCTGGGTCTGCAGCCGCACGGACTCTTCCCAGGAAGTGTCCACTGTCACCCTAGCATGATCTCAGCTCCAGCAAAGGGAGCCCAAGTGCCGGCTCCCTGTGAGTCTGACCCATGCAGCGCTGAAACCCCCGGGGCTGGTGTGCACCAGGCGCTTCCCTGGAAATGGTCCCTATAGCCAAGACCTGTGAGGTCAGAGCTCCTGGGGTCCATCCTGGGCACTGCCAGTGACTCACTGGGGCCTGGGCCGGTCACTTCCCTTCCGTACGAGATCACTGTCCAGCCCCACCTCCCAGGCTGGGCGTGGTGCCTGGGACGTGCTTGTGAGAAAGACGTGCAGGAGCGTGAGATCATCACACGACTGGCACTCAGAGCACTCCCTCCCTACGCTCATGGGCACCGTCCGGGGACACCGGGGCTCTGGAGGTCTCGGGCCGAGTGTCACTGACGTTCGCTCTAACTCCTGTTCGATTCCCTGGCAGTCTCGACAACCGTCTTCGTGGGCCAGTGCTTCGTGGATGATCAGGGGAAGGAAACTCTGCAGACCATGTGGCTGCTGCGAGAGAAGGTCAAATCTGCAGAGGATAACTGGAAAGCAACCACGTGAGTGACTGGGAATCCTCATTCCCCGGGGAGCAGAGAGGTCTCTGGTGGTCTGGGCTCCCCGTCCCAGCCTGTGTGGAGGAGACTCAGGTGATGGGGCGGGGAACAGTCCTGTGGCCAGAGGAGACAGGCACTGGTCTGCAGTGGGGCAGCAGCGCGTCTTCCCCAGACGCTCCTGCACTGGGCACTGGGAGCTTCACCCTGCCAGGGAGGAGAAGGAGAGAACACAGGGACAGGACCATCAGAAAAGCCCCAGAAGTCCTAGGCCTCCTGTAGCGTTTGGCCGAGAGGCCGTGAATTGTGTCTGTCAGCGACGGAGCACAGCCCGCACTGGGAACAGGAGCAAGGCCTCTGCACGGGGAGCGGCTTCAGCACCAAAACTGTCCCCAAGCCAGGCCCCGGAACAGGCTGTGAGTCTCGCAGAATCCTGGACACGTAGGGCTGGAAGGGACCTCGAGAGGCCACCTGCTCCGTCCTGCCAGGCTGCGGCAGGACCACGTACACTAGAGCGTCCCAGACAGGGCGTGTCCCACCTGTTTGCTCGAGACCTGCAGGGATGGGCACTGCACACGCTGCTTGGTAGCCTGTTGCATTACTGCCTGATCGGTAGAGAGCTTTTCCTAAGAGCTAACCTAACTCCCCTTGCTGCACAGGGAGCCCATTGCTTCACGTCCCACCTTCAGCCGACGTGGAGAACAACTGATCCCCGGCCTCTTCTAACAGCCCTTAACATATCTGAGACCTGGGATCAGTTTCCCCCTAAGTTTTCTTGTCTCAAAACTAAACATGCCCAGTTTTTTTTTTACTTTTCCTCACAGATCAGGTTTTCTAAACCTTTGATCGTTTGTTGCTCTCCTCTGGACTCTCTCCAAATTGTCCACAACTTTCCTAAAGTGCAGCACCCACAACTGGCCCAGTCCTCCAGCTGAGGCCTCCCCAGCACTGAGGAGAGCAGGACAATCACCTCCCGTGTCGTACATGCCACGCTCCTGTTAACACAGCCCTCCGTTCTATCAGCCTTTTCCCCAGCTGCAGCACGCTGTGGGCTCATGTTCAGTTTGTGCTCCAGTATGCCCCCAGCTCGCTTTCAGCAGTGCGATCTCCTAGCCAGATAATCCCCACTTTGCAGCTGTGCATAGGATTTTTTGCTCCTGGCTGAAGTACTTTGCACTTGTCTTCTTTGAATTTCATCCGGGTGAACTCAGACCAATTGTCCAATTTCTCAAGGTCGCTCTGGATTCTAATCCTGCCCCCCAAGTGCTCCCAGCCCCTCCCAGCCTGGTGTCCCCCCACATTGTGTAAGCCCACTCGCCAAGCCATTGTTCAAGTCATTAATGAAAACATTGACTAGCACCGGCCCCAGGACTGACCCCTGGGGAGGGGGCCCAGGCCTCTGGTGCTACTTCGTGCCCCTCCCTGCGGCAAGGTAGCTCCTGCCTGGGGAGCCTGTTTGTTCCCAGCCCTCCTCAGAGCACCCAGCATGTGGGCAGCCAGGCGGGGGGGCTGCAGGAGGGCTGCCTGCCCTGGGAGGCACCAAGGGGAGCTTTGAGCAGGTGGCTGCTGATGGGTCCCTGCCCCCAACAGCCCTGCTGAGCACCACAGGGACGTGCAGCCCGCGGAGCCCCTGCCCACCCCTGGGTGCTGCTGGGTGGCTCTGAGGCCAGGCCAGTGCAGGGTGCCCACAGCCACGCTGCCTCCCTGGGCTGGGGGGGGGGGGGGG